TCTCTGTAAGGTGTCAGAAGCCTGACTGCCTATCTTTAATAAATCTGGCTTATGCAGCAAAAAACCTAAGCCTATTTTCCTCACGAAAACTTGGAAAGTTTTTTTTCCCAGCAGGATGGGGCCCATGGGATATAACGAGGTCGCAGCCTAGTGGCTGAGTGCGCAGTCAATAGGTGTTATGTCTTTACCGACTCTCTGCCGCACTTGAGATTTGAACCCGCGAACACTGACTTCATAGTCGCTATTCTTACCTATTCGTTAGGTCCCGCGAAAATTTGTAACGTGTCCTTAACCTCTTCTGCCGTATATCATACCGAAGCAAAATTGATTTTTAGCGTCCAGTAGATTACGCTGATCATTTTAAATTTACTCGGCTTACCACGTTTTAGATGAAATTTTGTTAAACCTTAGTAGAGTCTTAAAGAGGCTGAAATCTCTCAACATTATGAACTTTATTGATGCCTATGAAGAAGAAGAAGAACAATTTTCTTGAGTTTTTGCCTGCGATCGTTAAATGTCTAAATAACTGTTGACAACATCCTATTGGAATTCCCATATGAGTGGGTATCCTAGGGGTGAGTAGGATATTGTGTTGCATTTGTAAAGAGATTGCATCGTGAAATTCATCAGCAATTACGCCCGGTCATGAGAAATTGCTTATCCAAAATGATTTCGCACTTAGGATAGCTAGTGGTGCCAACACTAATAGAGAGACCGAGAAAGACCCCATTACAAAAATTGGATGTAAACACAGTCGCAGAGTCACTTGGCTATTACGGAGTAGATTTTAAAAGAGATGAACGGCCTATCTAAACATACGGTAATAAATGGCATAATATACGTAGACAAGCTGGCTTTTATTTGTGACGTTCATATACCCAGAAGAGAATGGTGCCGTGAACAAGTCGAAAAGAAGTATCTTGAAACAAAAAAAAAAACGAAAAGCACGCTTTCAAATTGACAGCACTACATATTAAACCTTTAGAGCTAATTTTCCCTTTCTTTTAAGTTCTATGATTCCATACCGTCCTTGCTTTATGCTTATGTGCGATTTCTCTTCAATTTTGTTTTCTAGAGTAATTATAATTTTACCGCGAATTGATTTTTTGCCTTTTTTTTTTGTTACAGTAACTTGTTGTTGTGAAATCGCATCTTGTAAAAATTTCCTTGAAAAAAAAGCTTATCAGCGGAAATTTGCTTTAAACTCAATACGGAGATGAAGTAAAAGACATTTTCTTTCTCGATCTGTGGCATACTTAAAGGAAAGATGTGTGAGTATGTATGATGATAACATCTTTAGAATTTCATGCATTTGATATAGGGGAAACTTGAATCTCGATTCCTATATAACAAATTCAGAGAATGTCTCGTATGTTAGTTAAATCGCTTTATCTATGTATTAACGCAAGTACATAACAATATCGAGTGGCTGCTACATTGACCAAAAAAAAAAAAAAAAAAGAAGCGAAAGCGATCCTTTCGAAACAACATCAGAGGAAGTTTTACAAAAATTTTTACAAATTTGCACTTTAAAGTCAGTCCATCGAGGCTTTTGAGAACGTGAAAGCCCACTGCGGATAATCGAATCGAATCGATGTGAAACTCTAGTACTAGTCAACTCATGTTGAACCATCAAATCTACGAAGGTACATTTTAGTTAAGCAACTGCTATCGATTCCATTTCACTTTCATTTTTCGTTACACCTTGCATTAAAACTTATTTCTTATAAAAAATTTATGTTTGCCAACTCGATGAAGGCGTTTAAAAATGGTTTTTTGTTTAAATGCCGTTATTTTTACCCTTTAAAATTTACGCATTTTCTATAGGTTTTTCAATTCGTTATCATATCTTAGAACACAATGTTGACAAGTTCCCAACACTGATGCATTCAATCTCATCCATACCGTTGACAATGAAAAATTGTTTATGGCATCGTATATCGGTCTACTAAATAGATATTCTCGAGATGCTCGATCCAAACTTTCTCATCAATTCAATTTTAAATCTACGCCGTTTGTCATAAACGGAAAAAAATTGTCGTAACATTATTTTGCCCACTGAGCTGTTCCCTTGCCGCCACCTTAAGCATACTGCTGCAACATCAGCAGTAGCTTGCTTGGTCGATTTATGAAAAGATTAAGCGAAAACAAGTTTTTAATCACAGAATAAATATGTTAGGACACAACTCTTTTACTCATAGAATACCTGCCTTTATCTCCCTTTGTGATCGCAATGATGAGCTAAAGTTAGTTTGCCCAAAATCTCCAACCTTTTCCGAAATGATATGTAACTCGCATTGTTGGATTTCGAAAAACACATAAGCTTCAGATATGCCCACGAAATTTTCACCGATACAAGTCAACTTTAGAATGAGCAAATGAATGATTGAATTGATTGTTAATCGAATCGAAACCACATTCAAATGAATCTTTTGTTGCAACATTTTAGAAAAGAATAAAAACTACTTTATGTATGGGGGTATGGGTATCTACGAGACTTTCAAGATTTTGGCATTCAGTTCGCTTGTTTGGACATCATAGTAATCGAAATCATCAAAGAAATAATTTTTCTTTTTTTTTTTGCCTAATTGTCTTTAAAGCCGCAGGAAATAAAATAACAGACGAATATTAGTTAAACGATTTCGATCAATTACACGATACATAGATATTGAAAATGAAGAAGAAGAAGAAGAGACCTCGTTCAGCGAAAAATTTATATTAATATGAAAATTTATTGACTCACCAAAGCATTCATGGATAAGGTAAATTGAAATCTTTACTCTCCTATGAAATATAAAACGAAGGGAAAGGTGGCGCCTTCGTGTCCCCAGATATTACTCCACAATCACTACGGATTTCAACTCGACAAAAAATCCATCAAAAGTAAGAAGCTGAAGAAGATTACTTTCGAAATCGGCGAAATTATTTAGAAAATCGTTGGATTATATAAATTAAACTTAAGGGATAGAGTAAGAAATTTTCGCAAGAAAGTGTGCCGAGAAAATTGCACAGAAAACCCGCCATAATTGTAAAGAATTTTCTAGTTTATGCCGGGAAAGTTTTAGGTATAAAAAATTCGTTCATCCTATAATGTATTTTTGCTTATTTTCAATTCGAAGAAGCAAGAAGTTTCTAGTGCTAGTGTTCGTCCCACTTTTAATGCTAGAATTTACTTCTCGGGCCTAATAATAATAATAATAATAAGAATAATAAGAATAATATAATAAAAGAGATTAAAAAAACTCTCGGTAAAACTGGTAAATATTCCGGTTGATGTTAGTCGACATTTCCGACTTTTCACTAGTCACTCACTCACTGCAAACTTTCCGAATTAAAAGTCATTTATACCAAGTTTTTGTTTTTTTTTTTTGCAAATATTGACCATAGCGTCGGTGTATTAAATTTTGTTTCTAATTGTCTTCACCTTTATTGGTATTGACGCGGTGTCGCCTGGCACTCGCAAGAAATCGCTTGATGTCGTCACTTTTGTGGATTAATGGTCCTGTTCTAGCAGAAGATAAAAAGAGTGATCTGTCCAATGATGAGTGTGTGAGGAGTGAAGGTAAAAAATAGGAAATGCAATGCTCGGTCAGAATGTTAAACCATTTCCAATACAATGTTTATGCAATTTGTCAAAAAAGTATCGGGAAATCGAGAAAATATAATATAATATAATGGTCTGCAGATGGTTATGTATGATCTTCTTCAATATAAACCATATTGGAGGTTATATGAGAAGAAATTCTTAGTTCACATAAATTGATCTTGGTTTTTATAAAGGTTGCGGGCGATGCTTGATCGTCGTGATAACAGACCTCAACGTTTTCAGCTTAAGAATAAACAAAGAACTCTCGGGTTTTTTACATAAGGAATTTCCATTAATATAGCTTTGATTTATTGAATAACGATTGCGATCGAATAAAACGTATTCAGTTTTTAATCACTTAACGAGGGCAAAGAGACAAAGAGCATTAAATGACCTTCTAGAACGTTTTCCATAAATTTTCAAATTTCGCTTATGAACTTCTGAAAACTTAAGGTGAATATTTCGATCGACCCGCCTAAAACTTGTAGTTAAACATTTCTCTTCGTGCGGATAAAAACAGATTTTTGAAAGAGCGATCCTTGATTTCCTTTCCTCTTTTCTTTGTTGAACATAATCTTAAGCGGAGCACTTACTTTTATTGACTCTTGGACGTATAGTTGAGTTCGTCAGGGCACCAGATAAGCTGGCTATGCCCAGGCTACGTTTTACATAAGCCATGTATTTCGTTGTTTTTCTTTCACGTACTACGCATTGCTATATAGTGCACATTTCGAATATGACATGCTTGACGCGCTGGCCATATGAACACTTTTTATGCACGTTATAGATGGGAAAGAAGAAAGAAAAACCAAAAAAAAAAAAAAATAAAAAGGAAAGCTTTTAATAGAATGTCAAGCACGACAGGATGACAGATTTAGTTCGTTATTAAGGCTAATTCGTAAAGACTCGATATTCATAGCATAATTTGCATTTCATTTGCTAAGCAAAAAAAAAAAAAAAAAAAAAAAAAAAAA